TTGCTGGGTCTACACGATGAAGATGTGGCTGAAGAATAGTTCCAACTCCTTTCATAATTACCTGCACGTTCCAGCACATTCTCATTATCTCCTACTTTCTAGGAACTTAGTTATGTTTGTTAGCAAATAATACACCAGGATATGTACTATAAATATCCTTGGAATTGTTTTAGTTTTATCATCTTGAACTTGTCAATTGAATTTTCTTATTGGAGATTTGTCCTCTCGAATTGGACAGGGATTTCATTTGTATTTGTATCAAGATTTTTGCAGCTAATAAATATTCTATTTGTGTCTTATAATACTGCCCCTATCAGTTTAACTGTTGAGAAATAGAGAATGGAAAAGTAACAGAGACAAGGATATACATGGTCTGCCTACTTTTTTGATGAAAAACTGGAAAAGAATATCAAGCAAATTTTTTTCATCATTAGAAACTTGAATAGTTAGCATGCCAAATTTCTGGTACATTCTCATGAATCTTAACAAGTTTATAAACCATCATGTTATTAATCCCTAACAAATTTCACCCCAGCAAATTTTTTTCATCATTAGAAACTTGAATAGTTAGCATGCCAAAGTTCTGGTACATTCTCATGAATCTTAACAAGTTTATAAACCATCGGGTTATTAATCCCTAACAAATTTCACTCCACGAAGTAAAAGCATAAAGTATATGAAAACAACTGAAGAAGGCAGCACTTGTAAGTCAAAAAACAGATGAAGGAGCTACAGTGGAAATCTCCAAACTCTTTGAGGTCCAAAGAAAACAAGTCTCGCAGATTACGATGTAAGAAGGGAATAGAGTTAACGTAAACAAACTATTCAATATTAATATATACCTTAAACTAGGTATTCCTCCATTTTGGCCGCCTCTAGGTAATCCTACATTTTGGCCGCCTCTAGATGTAGTACCAGTGGTCCATCGATCTTCCCGCTCCAAAACTATTCTAGTTGAAGAAATTGCAGAATAGCCATTCTGAGAAGAATCTTGACAACGATGAGATGTATCCTGGTCAGAACCCTGGTTTCGATGTCGGAAACGCCAATATAAATGAAAAAAGAATCCCTACAGAACCCAATGCATAACCCACGATCCAGTCCTTCAATGGAGCATGTGGATGCACATGCTTTGACAAAGACAAGACGACAATAGCAGCAATAATTTGACTCATTGTTAATACTAGCAAAAAAGAGATCCATAAATCGGAATTTAAGGGACTCCGGCGGCGGCGGCGGCTATTTCCTCTCCGAATAAGGGGCGAGTTCCTCGAGTTTGATCCACTAGTAGGAAAAAGTGAAGGTTGATAAACCTGAACCCTCGCACTAGTAGAACCCTGATCTTCACTCCTCTGCTGCTTCAAGCCGTTATATCGCTGCTCATCAGATGTGCCACACGAGGAAGCATCGCTGCTATTAGTTATGTCAATAACGTGCTCATTATCATTAAATTTATTTGCTCGCTCCATTAACAAAGGCATTTTGTTCATTTGGCTTTTATGGTGAAGTCCCAGTACGGGAAAAGCCATCTAAGTTCACCAACAACCAAGAACTACACACAGAAAGCATGTGATAAGAGATTGAAAGAAAACTTCAACTTCCCTTTCATAACGCTATCTAATTTTAAGCTTCTAATGATGTGCAGTCACTTGAATCTTAACACAGTTACATACTCAAATGCCTCAATCACCAGACACGTTTCCATGAATCTGTTCAATCACAAAAGGCAAGGATGTTAGAATGTTATTTGGTTCTTCCCAACTTCAAATGCACAAAATCTCCTCTGCTTCAAGATTGGAAGCACACGTTAAAATTCCAAGAAAAAAGACCAAATGAGATATCTCCTTGTTTCCAAGTTTCTTATAATCTATGCAAAACTAAAGAATGAGAGTAAAAAAGAATTCTGCAAAAGCATAACTTTAAGCAAGTATAGACCCCCAAAACCTGACCAAATAATGATAAATTCTCTTTCCTTTGGTCATTATCTGAACTATAACTAAAAGAAGAGAAAACAATTGCTTACATTTCGCAAGCTTATATAGTTTCTACGAGGTCCGGTGAATCCACAGCCAGATCTTGGACGCCTTATGATTAAATTCAGACTGCATCACCATGGTCTGCGGTTCCTGAGGTTTCGATCCACTGCTGCTTGGCCCATTTTGAGAGGAGTGTGGCTTCTTTACCCTTTCCCCTATGCCCAGAAACTCCTGCGTCCGATCCCTAATCGACGCATTCACATTTTTCCCCCACGTTTTCTCAAATGAATTATTAACACCACAACCAAATAAACACCAAAAACAAAAAGAACTAAAATGAGATTGAGCAGTATAGCCCTTGGATTCACGAAAATTACAGATCAGAACCAGATCTCAAACCCTAGATCTGCGAAAAGGCGATCAAATTCAACCGATCACAAAGCAGATAAAACAAAATTAGCGCGAATTGCATCATAAGGTATATTTATGTGTCAGTATTATAGTGTATATATTCGTGAATGATGCAAGGATGTCATATTGAACAACTGAAGGGAAAATTTCGGACATAACAATAGTAATTAGTAATAATATCCTTAAGCTGCATTTTTTATTTCACTCTGATCACTACTCTCTCTATTTTTATCCTTTCCTTTTTTCTATTTTTTCCTAGGACTGGTAAAAGGCTAAAACCCAATAAGCTAAAACTCAATCTGTCGATAGGCCAAGCCTGATTCAAGCCAGTCATCCACTTCCAAGGGCGAATCTTGCAATTATTTTTTTTGAAAATTAAATTTTAGAAAAGAAAAGAATACAGGCGACAGCCAACTCGCCCCTCACTTGGCAGGGAGATGGACCAGCACCTTGAAATCAAATTTTTTTCCTTAACAATCAAAATAGAGCAAATTGCAACCAAGGTCCACAGGATATCAAATTATATGAATTAGGTCCTCAATTTTCTAAAGGAAACTCAAGGAAAAAATACAATTGATAAAGATTACTAACAGAAAGTTGATTGTCTAAAACTCTGGTTTGAATTCTGATTACTTATTCGTATTTATTGGACCTTAAATAATTGGGATAGAACTTCATGAAATACATTTTAGGATCCATTTGGTAGGACTTTGAAAAGTCAAAAGTTATTTTTGAGACTAAAAAGTTGCTTTTGAACATATTTAAATCTTTTTTTAAAAAATATATTGTAAGGCTAAAAGAGCTTTTATATGAAGATCATCTAAAATAACTTTTTCATGACACTCTTTTACAATAAGCAAAGCAACAAAAACTCTGCCAAATGAGGTCCTTAATCCATATCGCCAATAGTGAATAATGTAAGAACATCCATAGTTCCACTTTCACATCTAATAAGCCCACTTCCATATAATCAAAGTTGGATCATTGTCCATAAAGCAAAGCTATAAAGAAAATTTCTATATAACAATTATCCCCAACCAAGATTTTAACTTCTTTTTATTTTTTAATATTGTTGCACTGAAACATGCCAATAATGTATGGTCGTGATTGTAACACATGTATGGCAAGCAGTACACAAACAGCAGCTGCAAGAATAAAGATTTAGCTATACTAATAAATTAATAATCTTCTGTCCAATATTTTAGCTTCAATATTGACTTGTAAAGTCGAAGTATGCCTAAGATATGTGAGTACACTGACAGCATATCCAAATATTGAGATGTGCCAACAATATGCCATCCATCAAGTTTGAAAATTTAAACGGCTTGCATTTCCTCCTACACTTGGGACAGTTAACTTTCAATCAGCCAAGCCAATAAGTTCCAGGCTATATGATACAGGAAACTACTACATAGAATAGTACCTGAAGCCGGTAAGTTCAACAAACTCCATCAACTTAAGCCATCAACATAATCTGCTTGAGATATCCTGCAAATGTAATCAAAATGATTATGAAAACTCAAAGGGCATAAAGGCTTAAAGGTTCCTGTATTTAACATATAATAACAATAACCTATGCAATATTCCTATTAAACTTCAGGTGTGTATTTAACACGAAAGTTTCAATTAGAACAGATTTCAGAAGCAACTTCAAAAAAATTTAAAACAAATGTGGCGACATTCCTCCGATTTCTATTTTGTTTAATACGGATTCTTATTTATTCGGTCCACAAACATCAACTGATTAATAAACTAGAACAAACTTCTCCTGAAATGCAGTGGGACTTGTTAAGAGACCTTTGAGACTACATACGTTAGAATACAATCAGATTTACACACCTTTGCCAAAGTTCAAAAAATCCTCAATGACAAAAATGGCATTTATGAAAGTTCAGTACAATAGCCCTCTTTCAAACTGAAGTGATCATAGAATCAATCTAGATGAAGGGTATTGATATAGTAGCAAACACAGGCCAGCTTTATTCCTATTTTTCTACAAAAACATAGAAAAATTTATAGAGGCAACAAGCAAAAATCAACACAATAGACATGTTTAGAACCCAGTTTAGTTGCTGTTGCAATGGTTATTTTGGTGTTAGTTACTCCTGTTAAGAAAGATATCTTACCATTAATTATAACTTCACCAATGCTCTCAAAATACGATCTGCTCCCAACCCTAGCACTCCATAGCTTGCAAAATGACAAGTCTTCCTCGAAGATATTAAACAAACCAAAAAGACTTTTTGCTCGGAGATATTAAAAAAACTCCAATATCTTAACTGAAAAATCTGGCACAGCACTTTTTCCAGAAACCAGAGAATGTTCCACATAATAACCCTCAGCATACACCAAATATTACTGAAGTGAATGTTGTAAAATGATGTCAATGACAATGACATGTGCTCCCAGAGTTCAAGAGGACTGGTACTCAAATCAACTATAAATGTGCATCCAGATGGATTTATTTTTTTTTTTCGACAGAGAACGTATAACTATTAATACACGCTTAATCGGCAATGAAAAATCAATAATGCAATAACTTAGCCGTTTGAATTTCCACTGCAAGTTTTGCAGCATCATTTTTTAAGCCTAAAAGATTAAGACCATTAACAACTGCCCTTTGGTCCGATCTAAGAATTCTCATCCCAGCTCTAATACAAGATAGTAGGAGTTTAGATGCTTGATGGAACCTCTTAACCCTGCAAAGATTTTGGATCAAGGAAGAGTAGGTAAATGAATCCTTTACATCCATAGACTGAAAAATTTTCAATGCATAATCAATTTGACCAACTTCACACAACCCGTTAATAAAGCAATTCAAAGCAACTAAGCAATCAAATCCCAACATTTTCATATAGTTTAAATGCCTTTTGGCACCGTCGATGTTTCCGGCCTTGCACAGACCATCAATCAAGATAGTATGAGTATACTTATCGCAATCCAATCCTCTCTTTTCTGCCTTATCTAGCAACTGGTAGGCATCTTCTAGTTTACCTTCCTTACAATACATATTGATAAAAGTGTTGTAAGACACTACATCAAGCTCATACCCATTCTTAACCATGTTTGTCATGCATTTATTAGCATCTTGTATCCTACCAGACTTAAGTAATGCCCCAACAACTGTGCAATATGCAAATGCATCATATGTATAGCCTCTACTCTTCATCTCAAAGAAAAATTCCAACCCCTTATTGATGTACTTACGTCTGAAGCAGTATTTCATTACTGTAGTATAAGTAATGGCATTTGGAACATAACCTGAATCTCTAAGCTCATCAAAAAGCTTCATTGCTGACGTGAACTCTCCAGACTTAAACAGTCTATTAATCAGAATGTTGTATGTGATTATCTCGGGAAGGTATCCATAACTCCGCAAATTTCTAAATAAGGAAACAGCATTACTTATGTATCCGTTCTTGCAGAGTCCATTAATCAAGGTATTATACGTGGCTTGACATGGAGAGATATTCTGAAGAATAATCTTTTGGAAAACCCTGTAAGCCTCATCTGGCTTTCGTGACCTGAAAAAGCTATGCATCAGTGTATTATAACTCCACAAGTCAGGAACAATTTCCATGTTGAGCATCTCTTCAAGCATATCAAAGCATTGAAATAATGAGCTTTGCCTATTAGCACCAGCCATCAAAGAATTATATGTAACAACATCTGGGTTTACCCCAGCTTCTTTCATCCTTTGGAGAATAGAATAACCTGCATCAAAACCAACAACTCGACAATATCCAGTCATCAGAGTATTGTATGTCACCACATCCGGTAGGATGCCTAATCTAATGCCATCAATTATAGCAGTTTCCGCTTTCTCCAACTGTTTAGTTCTGCAAAGGGAAGCTATTGTTATATTCAACAATTTAGTCGATAATCTCTTGAACATTCTTCACATCTACTCCAAATCAGACCTACAAAAAGTGTGAGAACCTGGTGTCAATTGAAAATTTTTATATTACCATCACAGTTTTGGAAAAACGACTTCTAAGCCCTAACTAACCCAAAATTAACAAGCCACAAGAATGCCCACTCAGAAATCAGTTGAAATACCATGCAATGCAACATGCTAAGTTCAAAATAAAGAAAGGATATGAAATTATCACCAACTAATCTTTAACAATGCCCATTCAGAAATCAGCTGAAATACCATGCCTGTGTTTTTAAAAAAATAAAAATAAAAAATTAGTCGGCTCGGTTCAAGTCGAGCCTAGATCTTTTGGCAGAGCAAAAGCACAGCTAAGGTCAAAAAAGTTTGAACCATTTTTACTCGAGACGAGCCCGAGCCTCAAATTTCGGCTCGGCTTGGCTCGTTGACATTCCCAGCTAAACCATACATACATACATACATACTAGTTTTCTTATGCAAGATCCAAAAAGATAATATTTGAAAACTCAGATAACAAGTCCAAAAAGTTCGATTGATAATTTGGAAAGTTGAAGAAAGTAAGGCACAAATATATAATAATCAACATATAAACTAATCAATCAAAACCATGAAATCTTAAGAATTGTCTTCCCTTTTCCTAACACAAACCCCAAAAACAAGGCTAATTCGAAGGACCGAAAAACTTTCAAGCTAATAATTACGAAAATTTTTAATTTACAGAGAAAATTAATTTTCAAACTCAGTGGCACCTCCTTCCTACTCTTCCTCTTCTTCTACTTGTTAACATCTTCACGGTGGTTTTCTTTAAAAAATTCTGCTTTATTCAGTACCTCTTTGGAAATCCCAGAATTATAAAGGTTTTGAAGATCTAAAGATCTGCTCTTCCTTGGACTTTTAACACCTGCAGAATTTTCTATGCTATTTGCCATCAACAATCCTTCAATCCAATCACCCCAAGACAATAGCCCCAAATTTGATCTCCCATCCTATCTGACCTCACAGGCCACATAAAAATATCAATAATCAACCAAAACTACAGCCAAATTTCAATATCCAAACTAAGATAACCACAAAACTAAAGAAGTTCAACTGATTCCATCAAAAATATCAAATGAAACTAAATAAAACTAAAAAAAAAAAGACACAAAAACGTAACTGACACATATAAAAACTATTCGAATAATATATCTATTCTCTTACCCGTCCTAGAAATTATCGAAACAGTGAAGATGAAATAGTGAAGATCCAGCATACGAGATTTGATAAAGCGAGGAGGAAAATAATTTTCTTTGGAAACCTTAATTTTGATTTAAGATTTTAAGATTTTTTTTCTTTTTTAAAAACCTGATATTTTTTAGAGAGAGAGAGAGAGCCCGCGCTAGGGTTTGTTTTCGTAAGAGGCGCAGGAGAGTCGAGGGTTTATTAGAAACTCAGAGCAAGAAAGATGAGAAAATATGTTAAAAATAGTTACATAGCGTGTGTATCTTCGACTATCGGATTTAAACTTTACGGCAAGGATTGGATGCGTGGACCCTAATAGCAAGAAATAAAAAGATTTGGAAAAAGCTCCTTGTACATTGTTTGTTGACAGTGTTTCAAAATTCATGACGTGGCAACCGGAAAACTCAATGAAAATGGAAAATTGGGGATTTGGTAGACCCGACCCACATTTCCCCCATTTTTTACACAACCAAACCCTACATCCAGAATGTCGTAATCCTCCTCCCGCACCAGAAATCCATCCATACAATTGACGCGATGAAATCGACCGGCAGCGCCGTTGAATACCGAATTTTGTGACTGGAAGTGAATTCAATCCAGGTTCGTCATCGTTCACACCCACAGTGCACATATTAAACTGAATAATTCATGCAATTTATTTATTTTTTATTGATGAACCAAGATACAGTCAACATTTTGCATCACTGACTGCACAGCAAATCTGTGAACTGCAAATCCATATACAATCTCAAAGAAATTATGGACAAATTTTCTTTGCAGCATCCATATACAAGCTCAGGTAAAAGGGGGACAATTTTTCATTTGCAGTAGGAGTCCAAGTACATGAAAACTTCAATCCCTAAATTCGACATCCATATACAAGCTCAAAGAAATTGGGACAATTTTTCATTTGAAGTTCAAGTCCTTGTATATGAAAAATTCATTCCCTAAATTCGAAATCCATATACAAGCTGAATCAAGTTGGGGAAGAATTTTCATTTGCATTTTAAGTCCAGACACATGAGAAATGCAATCCCTAAATTCGAATTCAAAATTACGTTGCGTGATTTCATCTTACCCGACGAAAGGTTGAAAGGAGTTACAAACATCATGAAGTGGAGAACGGAAAGCGGTTGTCGGTATGTAGGGGTGGAGCCAGGAATTACTGTTATGGGGAGCAAAAAATTTTAAAATTTTAATGTACGAATAAAATTTATATATAAGAAAAATTCATAATATAAGTTGCCTATTAAAGTTGTACTCGGTGATGTTTTACAGCATAAAATTCATTTATAATAGAATCTAAATCTAAATTCATAATAAATTCTTCTTAGCAAATAGCATAGTACTTCAAAGAATCAAAATGCTTCACCTATAATTAAACAAAAAAATCCCAAAAAACTATGAATTAGTAATGCTTCATAAATCATAAGTAAATATTCATATTAACAATTGGCTTTGGCTGCGAGGTTTTCGTTTTGCCTTTGGCTAAGATTAGGAAGCAGTACAGCAGGTTCAATTTCACAACTGGAAGAGTAAATATTAGAAATGACAAGGATTTCCTACTGTCCAACAATCAAAGAACTTAAAATGTAAAAACTCTTACACACACCCTTCCTAATTGATATTAATTATTAACATTTGTTTGTAACTCTGACTGACTGACTCATAAGAAAGGGCAGAAACTAGAAAGCTACAAATTCCATTTATTCCAAGACCTCGAACAAAATTTCAATTCCTCAAACTTCACTGTTTCAAATTGGCTTCTGCCTTTTCACTTTTGCCTTCTTAATTCTTATTACCTTATACCTTAATACCTAGTATTTATCATATACAACAAACCAATTAACCAAGTATATGACATCGAAAGATTTTCAAGTTCTAATTAGTAAATCACTTACCCTACAACCTAACCCAAGTCGGCAACCAGGCGGCGAGTCGGTGAGACGCTGTGTCACGGTCACGGACTCACCGTCACTCGCGGCAGTCAGCAGGGCGCAGGCGTCGGCACTCGGCGGCTACGGGCAGGGGCAAGGTGAGAAGATTTGGTGATTTTGATTTTTGACTTTTGGGAATTATTTGAATTGGTCTTGCAAAGGCAAAGGAACAGGAATGGAAAAGGGAATAATACGTGAATAAGAAAATGGGTAACGGGTATTATGCCTTGGTGAACATTATGAACGGGTGTATGGTATTATGGTGTCCATAATGTATATCAAGTATGGTGAGCTTATGCCTAAAATTATAGAGGAAATGCCACCAGTACCTAAAATTTATTAAAAATTCCCCTTTTACGTTTCAAAACTTTTTTCACCAAATATACTGCAATATATGTATTATATTTGAAAAATGGGAACTATACTCAATCTCATATTTAAGATAGTAATACCTGAAATTATTCCACCAAACACATCGTATAACCCACCCACAAATTACGCCATAGTAAATCCCAATCTTCAGCTTTACCATTGTACCGTTGAATAAAGAATTTTCGAAAATCAAAATAAAAAACTCTTCAATAATCTCCAAGATCTCCACAAAATTGTATCTCAATTCCTTACTTGAGGGATAATTCTTTTGATTTCTCCTTATGCTGATGTTAGATGGGAAGATGACGAAAAGCAATTATAGCTAATAATATTGAAATACAAAATTTTCGAAATTCAATTACAAGTTAACAAACAAAAGCACAATTATCTGTGTTGGGCACCAACCCTGTTTGCCACTAGTATTCTTTTAATTTGAATTCCTTACTACTGGTGATGGCTTAACAATTCATATAAACAGTTAAAGTTGTGATGACTAGCATACTTCCATGGGTGAAGAAAATTTGCTGATCTAATTCGTGTTCAAGCGCACCGATCATTGACATCAAGTAAATAATGCTTTAAAATGTTAAAGTAATGAAACCTTGACTCAAGCAAGGAAAATAGAGTTGAGGATGAATGTTTCTGACATATGGTGGTGTGGTATACATATATTCTTGGTAGCTTTGAAGTTGAGTTTTAAAGCATCTAAGAAATTTGGTCTCGACTCCGGAGAAGCTTCTCGGAGTTGGTTGCGATATGTTTTCTTACCTTCTTATTCAAGGTTTGCATTAATTATATTATCAATTTCATTATCTTTAGTATGCAAGTAACCATAAAAAAGTATAAAGGAGAGAGAGCATGAAAAGAGGAGAAGGAAACAATTTATTTTATTTTATATCTTGAGAATACAAGTTATTAATTCAGTGGTAAGCATAGAATACAATATATGATGTCCCAAACTGAGATGAAATTAACTTCCTTTCCGCTTCTCTAAAATTTGGCTTTTGCTCACTCTCTTATCTTCCCAACTTTTTGTGCATTTTACAATTTGCATCTTTGATCTAGGAGGTAATATCTCACCATGACATCGACAATTATCCACTCTCCATTGAGTATGATCTCCAAGTGGTACAACAAAATCAGCTTAACAGCCCAGGTAAATATCTTTCATGCGTACTAGGAACAAAAATTCTATGCTTGTTCACCCTTGTCGTCGATTACAACTAATTCGTGTTTACACGAAACTCCATCCACCATAAAATTGATTGCATGTGCATGTAATCAACTTCAAAGCTTCAACGTGCTGTGAGTTCTCATCCGACATTTGATACAAGAATTCATTTGATGTAGACAACCTGAAAATCATGAATTTCATGTTAAGAACTACATACGATCTCATGTGATTTGTAATAAATCAATGTAATTGTTTACTATTACTGTACAAGTACAAAATCATTATAAATCCAAAGTGATTTTTTCATTGTGCTATACTCTTGTTCTTTGAAAACCACATCTATACCACGTTCATCGAGTCCATATCTACATCTACACAATAATGTAGGTTTCAACACAAGTTGATATGATCAGGGGAAGGATTTATACATAGTGATCAATGACATATACACACTTCATACGATGCATAACATCATGTGATATCAATTAGAATCCAAATCGATATTATAGGACTTCTAAAATTTTGGACACAATAACCAAATCAATCCTCATGTGTTTTACCCAATAACCTATTAATTATAGAAATAATTTTAACACACATTCCAATATATTACTCAATGTATCTTGGTGTAAGAATGATAAAACGAATTACCACGCACCGATCGGATTCAAGGATTACAAGCTAATCATCTACAACTAAATGTACGATACACAAAATATCAATAAATATAGAAAATCCATTAAATACCTCAGTAGAAGAAAAATTTAGGAAAGATAAATCCTACAAGAACCCTAATAATCGAAGATCGGAGATGGCATTTATTTAATTTTAACAATTCGCTAAATGTGACGTGAAGAAAGCTCTCTTCATGGTAATGGTGATTTTTGGAAGAAGAATCTAATGCTATTGCAATGTCTCACTCATTTTCAATTTGAAAATCCACCTATAAAGCAATAATTTATTGATTGCAGTCCGTGATTCTTGGCTAAGTGTTTTCAATTACGCCTCAAAATAGGAAAGGTCTCATAGTCAGTATTTCCAGTTTCTTTATGTGTATGTGTAGTAAAATAAATATATAATATTATACTACTAATAAAAAATGAATTTGTTTTTTATTTGTAGGTATAAATGATTTTTTCCCAAAGTTATATAGATTAGTGGGCTAAAGATTAAACAAAAAGTTTTTTCAGGTAGGCTAGCCCGTTGTCATTATTTGTTGGTGGACTAATGTGACTAATTGATTACAAATCAAACTAAAAATAAAAGAATTTTGTTGCATTTGGGCTTGGGAGACCGTGGGCTGCAGCCCACCACTGAATCCGCGCATGTCGGTAAGGCTGTGACCGACGAAAATAGCGACGGGTTCGGTGGAGGTTCCAATGCCTGCTTCGCTAAAAGTATAAAGATTGGGCAGCAATCTCGTGTTCTCTCTCCGGTTACGGTGAAGATGACTTCGCCAGAAGTGGCTACCAGTTCGATGAAGGGGATTCTCGTGGTTTGGTTGTGTGTGGCGCTTTTGTTTTCTCCCAAATGACGAGTCTGGCTTTTGGAGGAAATAAACACATTTTCACTGCTTTTATTTTTTAAACATTTTTCATCTAGGACTGTGAACCTAACTGTCATCCAAAATGTATGAGTAGCGGGATTGTTCTAACATAAAATGACGAAAATGTGCAGAAACCCATGGGAAGGGAACTCTTTTACTATACAATTCAGCAACATTGAATTGTCCCTTTCCAAAGTTTATATGCATGCATATGTACATTTCGTTGGTTCCTTATAAATTATTTAGATTTTAATCCATTACTTAGTTTTGGATCTTTTTTAGTAAAAACAATAAATAATTAAGAATAAACGTACAAATTTAGGTTGAAACATTCGTTACGTTAAGCACATTTCATTGGTTAAATTCAATTCATTTAGTTTTGGACGATTTTGAGTAAAAACAAAGGCTCCGTTTGATTACAAATGTGGAAAAAGCAAACAAATTTCATGTAAATTGGAAAAAAAAAACCATCAAAACCATTGGAATGTATTTTCCATGGATTTGGCCAAAAACATGCTTTAAGTATTTGTACCTTAGAATTTAAACTCCATTTCCATTTTCTTATCAAATAGTTAAAGTAGAAAACGAATTCTTCGGATGTTTCATTTTTCATGGCATTCATTCCAATCAAACGGATACTAAATAAATAAGAATAAACGTGCAAGTTTAGCTTGAAACATTCATTACGTTAAAAATATTAACCACCTATATATCTGTTGCTTCCGTTTGAACATGATTGATCAATGTGCAATGTTTAATATTTTCTTTGTTGATAGAGTTCAAATGATCTTGATAAAATTACAAATATAAATAATATTTCCCTAAATGAAAGTAGTGCTACAAGTAGACAAAAAAATAAAAAATAAAAAAATTAAATGATTATGAAGGAAAAATTCAGTAATTAATTTTATTGTCAGTAAGAAATAAAAACTTTTAGTATTTACTAAAAAATCTATAAAGAACTAATTACTTATATATATAATTTTTATCATCTTATTTGATGCATCTTGAATCACTAGTAAATATCTTGTACCCATGAATGTGGTTGCTAACAAACTGGAAGTCTTCTTCAAATTAACAAATTTGAGATCAAGAATAGGGATATTTGTAATAGGGCAGATTTTTTTTTTTTGGGTTTGTTTTCCGAAAATATTAGTTTTCAAAAACAAATTTAACATAAAATTTGAGTTCAAGGATAGGGATGTTTGTGCTATTTTTAAAAGGTATGAGGGATTTCAACAATTTGGCAAATAGTTAGGGATGTGTATGTATGTCTATATGTGTGTGTGTGTGCGCGCGCGCGCTTTGATATATGTACACTGAGCTACACAGCTCAATCGGCCCCCATTTTGAGGGGGGCTGATGTCGAGCAAAACCCGTTTTTGCTATGTTTATTAGTACCACCCAATTCTTCAGAAAATCCATGTACTTTTAAGAGTACAC